ACATATAAATATAAAATAAAATACAAATAAGGAAGAAAATATGTGTAATTGCCACAGGTCTTATTTCCGTCAGTTATGGCATGATAGTACACTGGGGCATTTAGATACCAATTTGGAAGGCATAATACATTAGATGTATACTTTATATTTACATCAAAATAAATCCCAAATGGATTAAAAATTTTGATGTAAAATATAAAACCGTATGAGTAGTAGAAGAAGAGAGGCATGACTATTTGTATATCTTGGGGAGTGGGGGAATTATTGAGCATGACATCTGAGGTGGGCGTCCATTGACTTGTCTGCCCAGCAGCCCGTCTCTTCTGAGGTCCATTGACTTGTCTGCCCAGCAGCCCGTCTCTTCTGAGGTCCATTGACTTGTCTGCCCAGCAGCCCATCTCTTCTGAGGTCCATTGACTTGTCTGCCCAGCAGCCCGTCTCTTCTGAGGGGCTCCCACTGCCCCCTCCCTTCTTTCCACGTCCCACATAAACCTGTGGTTTGAATAGGTGTCTTCTCCTCTGAAGCCATCTTCCTGGCCACAGGGGCTTGTCTAGAGATGAGCTCCTCATCCAAGCTGAGCAAATCACTTCCCTGGCCACCCATCTGGGTCACCTTGAGATTCTTTGCATCCCTCTCTGTTCATGCAACTGAGGAGATTGTATGTTCTAGCGCTGCCTTTGGAGGCATAATAAAAAATAAAGTAAAAAGAATCTCCTGATAGGGCGCCTGGGTGGCTCAGTTGGTTAAGCGACTGCCTTCGGCTCAGGTCATGATCCTAGAGTCCCGGGATCAAGTCCCGCATCGGGCTCCCTGCTCGGCAGGGGGTCGGCTTCTCCCTCTGACCCTCTTCCCTCTCGTGCTCTCTGTCTCTCATTCTCTCTCTCTCAAATAAATAAATAAAATCTTTAAAAAAAAAAAAAAAAGAATCTCCTGATAAGTCTGTCTCATATAGGTGATACGTTAGTCATGGTTTGGCTATTTTCTGCTTTGTAAATCTTCAGCTCCAAAAGGTAATCTTTCTAATCATTTAGGGAATGAGAGTTTAGGTTGGGTTCAGGTTAGTTGTATTAATTATGCATTTAACATAGAAAGACTCTAAAAGAAACTTTCATAACTTCGTGATTTCCGGGGAAGGATTGTGGCTCAATGGTTAAAGAACATGGGCTTGGGGTCCCAAAGACCCACTTTTGAACCCAAGCCCTGGTATTGATCAGCTGAGGAAATTGAGCCTCCCTGAGTCTTAGTTTATACTTTTGTAAATACTTCACAGAAAAGAAAACAAGGCATGCATCAAAAGAGCTAGACAGTGTCTGGCACTTAATAATGACTGAAAAACCAGTGCATTATGATTGTTGTTGTCCTATTTTTTTCATCTCAGATTACTGTCAGCTGAATTATTCAAATAGAACATTATTTTTCCAAATTTGTCTACTTAGAAAATATTCAACTATTCAACATTGTTAACTCTACTGTTTAAATAAAACCAAAATATCCTCCCTTTCTGTAGTAGGTGGTTTTCTGATTTCTATTCTAATATTTTGGCCAAATCTAAATCAAAGAATATGATATTTAAGAACCCAAACTTGGGGCACCTGGGTGGCTCAGTCAGTTAAGTGTATGACTCTTGATTTCGGTTCAGTTCATTACCTCAGGGTTGTGAGATCCAGCCCTGTGTCAGGCTCTGTGCTGGGCATGGAGCCTGCTTAAGATTCTTTCTCTCCTTTTCCCTCTGCCCCCCACTCCCCATTCATGTGCGCTCTCTCTCTTTCTCTGAAAGAAAGAAAGAAAGAAAGAAAGAAAGAAAGAAAGAAAGAAAGAAAGAAAGAAAGAAAGAAAGAAAGAAAGAAAGAAAGAAAGAAAAAAAGAAAGAAAGAGGGCGCCTGGGTGGCTCAGTTGGTTAAGCGACTGCCTTCGGCTCAGGTCATGATCCTGGAATCCCGGGATCGAGTCCCGCATCGGGCTCCCTGCTTGGCAGGGAGTCTGCTTCTCCCTCTGACCCTCCCCCTCTCATGCTCTCTCTCTCTCTCTCATTCTCTCTCTCAAATAAATAAATAAAATCTTAAAAAAAAAAAAGAAAGAAAAGAAAAAAATGCAAAAAACTTCTCTTGGCTTAGGATGAACAGGCTATGCCTCTCTAGGAATAAGTTCACACTCCCTATATATCCTAAATAGTGATTACTGACTTGAACGGAAGTGCATGGAGGCTGCAGCATGGAGGGATGCACTCCCTAAGACAGACGTCCTGATAAGGTGTGCACTAGAGCCCATGTGTGCCTCCCTCGCCAGGCTGTTGTCCACACTCTTACTGCTTCTGCCACCCTTGTTGCTAGTTTTCTTCTCACCTGGGCAAGGCAATTATCTATCCACTAAGAAAGTGTTATTAGATCTTTCTCTCTAGGTGAAAGCATTTGGTTTTTAATCTGTTATTTATAAATTCCTGAGATGAACGTGCCAATGTGATACTTTTTAAACAGATCTCTTCTCTTTCGAGTCAGTCAAGGGCAGGGAACACGACTTAGCTCTCCTTTGATCACCCTTCTCATGCAGTGCTGGGTACATGGTGAATGTGCAGTAAATCCTCAATTACAACATCATACCAAAGCCAAGAGCACTGTGTGTGAAGCTCCCGTATCCACTGACCCTTCAGGTATCAGAGCAGCGCTGGGTTCCATTTCAGGCGGGAGAATGCTTCTTTCCAATTTCTGTGCAACATGCTGTCCCTGGGCCCTGCAGCAGGCTGCTTGGGTGCACAGCATCCACAGGGTGGTGGGAAAATAGCTCCCTCGGCCTCAGCCTGTGATCCTCTCTATCCAGTCCAAGCAGCCAGAGGATGTTTTTCTATGCCTTCCATTATCTTCTTCACCATTTCAGTACCCGAAAAATAAACAAGCACTTCTCGCACTCCCACTGGAGCTCCAAGATCCCCTAATATATCAATTGAGGCAAATAAGCAGTGAACGGGTCACGAGTCCCAACAGTCAAACTCTATGTCATCGCCTGGACCAAGCTGGGCATCCTGCTACAGGTTTTAACGTAAAGGATAGTGGTGCCTGGGTGGCTCAGTCAGTGGAGCGTCAGCCTTCGGCTCGGTCCTGGGATCGAGCCCCCCCATCGGGCTCCCTGCTCAGCGGGAGGCCTGCTTCTTCCCTCTCTCTCCCCCTGCTTGTGCTCTGTCTCTCTCTCTCTCAAATAAATAAATAAATGAAAGCTTTAAAAAAATAAATAAAGGAGGGCGCCTGGGTGGCTCAGATGGTTAAGCGTCTGCCTTCGGCTCAGGTCATGATCCTGGGGTCCTGGGATCGAGTCCCGCATCGGGCTCCCTGCTCCTTGGGAGCCTGCTTCTCCCTCTGCCTCTCTCTCTCTCTCTCTCTGTCTCTCATGAATAAATAAATAAAATCTTTAAAAAAAAATAAAAAATTAAAATAAATAAATAAATAAATAAATAAAGGGAAGCTTGTTTCTTCATTAGTTGGATGTAGTGTTACATTGATCTGTAATTGTACACTGTGAACCTGTTTCTATCTTGATTCCCTCTGTTAACAGCTGTGAGATGAACTATCCAGAAATATGGGTTCTGGTTCCAGGTCCTCCTAAAACCATCAGGGTGCTATGGAAATGTACAGTTTACCCATTTGGGCCCGTCTCTCCATCGACACAATAAAGTGATCAGTCCACGCAGTTCCTGAAATCCCTCCCTGTCCTAAACTGCATAAGGTTCGGTGCTAATAAAACAGAATATTCTCCTTTGCCTTGGCTTTTAGTGTGATGTTAATAGTATGTGTTTTCTATAAAAAAAAGCTTGCTAATATATTAGATTGTCAGTTACTGCTCTAGTTGCAGACCTGTGCATTATTCGCTCACGTACATTGCGGTATAACCTGTGAGACACACGGTGTCCCAGCTAGTTTATTAAAAAATTAATATTTTACCTTTTGACCCCCTTCACCCATTTCTCCCAGTGGATGAAGGGGGTTAAAAGGTAAAAAGAAAAAAAAGGAACTGCAAACTATGATCCAATGAAGCTTCTTTGTTAATTATAAGTTTGATCTAAGCATAAATTTTTACCAATAAGACAGAAAATAGTTTCTTACATACCAATTCTTTTAAGATGGGTAAATGCTTAAGTTAGTACTTCCAATGGTCCTCATCCTATTAATTTTAAATTGTTGCACACTACTAATTTTAGATAATTGCCCTGGTGTGCAAGGAATTGAAAAACACTGAGAGGCTCACAAAATAAATGGTTATGTTAGAAAATGCTCAGTGAAATTAGCATAGATGTTTATAACAAAATTTTTCTTTATAGAGTTCTATTCATATCAGTGCGTGATGTAATAATTTTGACATTAAATTAAAAATTCTGAGCATTTAACACAAAATTCTTTCTTAATACAAATCATCATATACTATAATAAGTTAAATCTGAAATCTGAATCATTCCAAACAGCCTCCAATGTCATTTGATTGTAAGCTCTCTCAGGGCATGGATTCGTCTGTTTTGTTTTCTGATGTGTCTCCAGCACCTATAAAAAGATATTTTTGTTGTTGTTTTTAAAGATTTATTTATTTATTTGAGAGAGAGAGCGTGCACACGAGCATGGTGGGGAGGGGCAGAGGGAGAGAGAATCTCAAGCCGACTCCACGGCTGAGCACAGAGCCCAATGTGGGGCTCAACTCCACAACTCAGAAATCACGAGCCCAAGATTACGACCTGAGCAGAAACCAAGAGTCAGATGCTCAACCAACTGCATCACCCAGGCACCCCAAGAAGATTTTTTTTTTTAAAGATTTTATTTATTTATTTGAGAGAGAGAATGAGATAGAGAGAGCATGAGAGTGGGGAGGGTCAGGGGGAGAAGCAGACTCCCTGCTGAGCAGGGAACCCGATGTGGGACTCGATCCCAGGACTCCAGGATCATGACCTGAGCCGAAGGCAGTCGCTTAACCAACTGAGCCACCCAGGCGCCCCGATTTTTTTTAATTAATACTATTTTCCCAATATAGTGCAGATCATGTTGAATATAAAGGATTGACAAAATATGCCTAATGAGAAAAAAAATCAACATAAAGTGCCTTTCTGAATGAATTAGAGCAGCCTGGAGTTGAACAGGATATATCACGTGGTTTCCCAGAGCTCCCAATACCAAGGTGGTATATAGTACAGCCATATAAAGTAAGCAAACCAGAATTGCCAATGTTTGTGCACAGGCTCTCTCATATTAACAGTTGTAACATTTCACTTTGGAGTTTTATTTAAACAACCTCAGCAGTTTGGATCACAGTTTGGGGGTGCTTAAGAGTTTCAGACTGAGTTTGTTGGTACTCTCTCGTACATCCGAGTGCAGATAACATTGTTCACGGCACTTTCCTAGAAGACAAATGAAGGATGAGACAATTCAGTATTATAGGTGAAACTGACTTTTAGAACAATGCAAACTAAGTACTATCCATACACACATTCTTTAAAAATCTTGAAAAGAGATCTATGTAGACAACTATAGATACCAACTATTTGTTAGCTGATTTTGCTAACAAAGTGGCAAATTGTATGTTATATATGATATATGTGGTTATACATATATATGGTATATATGTAATGTGTGTATATGTATATATACAAAAATGGCAAATCATATATATATGTGGTTTAACATATATGGTATATATGTAATGTGTGTATATATATATACACACAAATGGCAAATCATATATATGGTATATGTGGCGCTATATATATATGTATGACAAATCATATATATGGTATATGTGGTTATACATATATGGTGTGTATATATAATGTGTATGTATTTATGTACAAAAAACAAGGCAAATAGTATAAAATTTGAAGTCTGTTAAAACATTTTAAATGCCTATGGTGAAGCATTTTTGCTAATTTATATAACCTACATTTTTCAAATAATAACATTAAGTTACATTGATGTAGTATTTTATGGTTTTTAGAGCACTAATATATACATGATGGTATTTAATTCTCTCAAAAAAACCATGAAGACAGTCCTACATTTTTGAAGGCAAGTAAACTCAATCTTGGAGAGGATAAATGACTCATCCAAAGTCACAGAAGTACCGAATGGCAGAGATGGAAATGCACATTTTGAATTCTGAATCTATATTCTTCCTACTGAATTAAAAACATATCTGTTTGGTGATTAATGTCATTATAAGGAAAAATAAAATCAAGTATCCTTAGTCTTCCACTTATTACTTTATAAGTAAATGTACTCTTCATTGTTGAAAGAAAAAAAATCCTTACATTAAGAAATGAGGATAGGTTTTTTTTTACTTCCACATAATTCTTACATATTCCCTTAGAACTATTTGATATTATGTCCAAAATTGTCATTTTATTCATTTCAGTGGAACTGGGGGTTTGGGAAGAAGAATCATTGACATATTTCCCTCCATTGTGTAGAAGGGAGAAAGATGACCTGAGAAGCCATCCTCAAAGGGAGCAGAATGGACTCAAAAAAGTATACATTGGAATTAAGCCAGCCTGGGTTTTAATCCCAGCAGCACCATGTTTTTCTTAGGTAATAGCCTTAGGTAAGTCAGTGGCTGACTCTCAGTTTTCTCAACTGTTAAATAAGCTAATTAGTCTTACCTCACAGAATTATTGTGAGGATTAGGTAAATAATATATGAAAACATGCAAACATGGTAGCCACAGAAATGTTAGTTTTTAATTGTGTCAACTCATCCATACACCAAGGAGACACCACTTAAGCTTTGTATTAGTTTAAATTTCCTTTTCATGTGTTTGTTTGGTGTTGAGCTGGAAAACAGTGAGAAATTAATCTTTGTATGGAGCAAAGGATTAGCAACAACTCACAATCCCTGCTGAAATCTTCATTGCACAAATACGTGCTAGTTTTGGCTTATGTGCAAGTCAAAGAATTAGGCGACACAACTTTTTTATTTTCTTTAGCGTTTTAGTTCCTCAACCCATGCGCATTTTATAATATTTATGATCATGCATAAATATTATATCTATTATATTTATCTGCCAATGTCTTCCCCCATTCTTATAAAGCAAGAGAAAAAAGAAAATTACATTGACTTCTATTATTTTATAACAAGCTATTTGAATGATTTTATATACAGGTGTTAGAGCAGGTGACGAAAATAATGACGAACTGCTCACTCACCACCACCATTTTCCCATCGACCAACTTTCTCTTTATGGTGTTCTCTTTGCCATCCCAGTCTTGAACCTGAATCAAAGAGTCCTTATCGAAGGTTACCACACTCTGAAAACAGATGAAACGGAATTCAGCTCAGACTGTCACATTTGAATACCAACATTTTATCAAGGACCAAATCCTTTTCAGCGGTTGTGATATTCTCAGGCAGTTTTGGAATGGTGTTTACAGTTTTATTTATATTTTAAGACTTTGTCAACACTAAATTTGTTGGCTGATTATTCTGAGGGAGGAAAAGTTTTATAAGAATAAAAAGATATTATCTTGAAGAATAAGTAAAACTCTCTTTTCCCTGAGAAATGAAGAGGGGTAGATATCCTATGCCCTCATTTCCTGCCCGCTCTCCACCGCACGCACAGAAACTTCTCCAAACCCACCACAATGCTGAATATGTATACTAAGTTAGAAAGCAGCTCCCATTGTGTTAAGCCACTGGGGCCTGTGGTTAACGTGGTACTGAGGCACAACCTCACCTGAACTGGTTAATATAAGTTTTATTCATTGTAACTTTATCCATAGAAAACTGCTACAAAGTAGGAAGGCAGAACTTTTGTTTCTGAGAGAAGAATCTAAGGAAATGATTCTCAAAATGCGTCTGCTAAGCATCTGCATCAGAAATGTTAGAAATACATAAACCTGAAAATTAAGAGATGTTAAAAAAAAAAACAACCCTGCATATACATAGTCTAGTATTAGACTGGACTGGAAGACTTATCCTATTGCTGAGTGTCATCTCTTATTTTTTCACTCAATCAGCTGTTAAAATAACCCCTAACCTGGAAGAAAGAATAATACCCCATTTATCTAGCATGTATGATGTAATTATGTATTCTTTTAAAATTGGACCTCGAGAATATGAAAAAAAAATAATAAAAATAAAATTTTAACTAAAAAAAAAGAAAAAAGAATGTTAGAAATACACAGAAATACTTCGGGTGCCTACCCCAGACATCAGAGCCTGTGGGGATGGGACCTACAAATAGGCACTTTTCACAAGTGTCACAGGAGATGTGTATGTATATTAAAATTTAAGATCCTCAGATTTAGGCTTTAGCCCAACGTTTATCTAATACAGACTTTGGATGTGTTTGCTATAATTGTTTACATACTTAGAATGATTTCAAATTGACATTCTTATGAAATGTATCTGAAAGAGTGTTGAAGGCCTCACCTTGGTTTTATAGCCCCCTGGTGTGGTTTCCTCAAACTCTTCTCCGAGTTTAAAGGAGATCTCATTATTTTTAAAGATGCTTTTGGTTTTTATAGTGATCAGATCTTCCTGTGTACTGATGGTCACAGTGGGTCTTGCCAGACAGGCAAGTTTCCTGCTGGCTCGTCCTATTCCTGGAAACCAGATGAAAGGACACCATAGTTAAATCTGTTGCTGGCTTTAGAAACCCATGTTCACTGCGTAATTCTTTACTAACGAGGAGGTCTGTGAGTTAAGCAGATTTAATGCTGCATGAATTCAAATATCTGAAGCTAGTAGCACTACCATTATAAGTTAAAATAGGTTATATTTTGCAGAAAAAAAATTAATCTCTAGTTTTGGCTACTGGTTGTCATGTTTCTTTAGCCCAGTAGTTATTGATCTTGTTGGTTCATGACCCTCTTTGAAAATTTTATTAAAGCTCCTATTTTGATAAAATATCTCCCTCTTAGCACATGTTGTGATGAGCACTGGGTGTTATATGCAACCAATGAATCATCGAACACTACATCAAACACTAATGATGGACTATATGTTGGCTAACTGAACATAATAAAAAAAAAATCTCCCTCTTTTAAAATGCACTCATTTATACAGATGAAATACTTTGACATGGTTTATTTAAGATCGTTATCTCTTCACTTATATTCTAATATGTACATATATAGAGTTTGTTTTTTCCATCATGTATTTTTTTATTGTGCTAAAATATAGATAACATAAAATTTATCATTTTAACCATTTTAAAGCATACAATTAAGTGGCAATAGGTACGGGGCGCCTGGGTGGCTCAGTCGTTAAGCATCTGCCCTGGGCTCAGGTCATGATCCCAGGGTCCTGGGATCGAGCCCCACATCGAGCTCCCTGCTCGGCAGGAAGCCTGCTTCTCCCTCTCCCACTCCCCCTGCTTGTGCTCCCTCTCTCACTGTGTCTCTCTCTGTCAAATAAATAAAATCTTAAAAAAAAAAAAAGTGGCATTAGGTACATTCACAATATTATACAACCATCACCACTATATATAGAATTTTTAAAAATATAAATGTTCTATTATAACAATTGTTACTCAACTTACTTTTCCCCATCTCTATATCTTAAAGATTTTCTGTGTCAGTACACATAGATATAAATTTTTGTCATTGCTACATAATATTTTATAGAGTGTATATATTAATATTTATTTCATCTGTCTCCCTCTTGAGGGACATGTTGTTTGTTTCCACTTTTTCTTATTACAAGTAATGCTATAGTGAACATTCTTACACACACAGCTTTATGCAGTACATGTAGGACTATTTTCTAAAGAAATAGCATCACATGTACAACAATACTTAAATTTCTAAGAGAAGATAAGTTGGAGAAACACTCTAATATGATTCATGAATTCATATTGTGAAACATGATAACAAGTTGTGGTGTATTAGATGATAATGATTCCCAAAGATATTTACACCCTAATCCCTAGAACCTGTGAATGTCACTTTATATGCCAAAGGGGATTTTGTAGATATGGTTAACTCAAGGATCTTGAGATAGGGAACTAATCAGCCATGTGGACCCTAAATGTAATCACAATTTCATTATAAGAAACTTCCCTTATAAGAAAAGGAAGAGGGACATCAGACTACAGAAGAGGAGAAGGCAATGTGACAATAGGGGCAGAGATCGGAGTGTGGTGCCCAGACACCAAGGAAGGCCAGCAGCCATCTCAGCTGGGAAACAAGATCTATTCTGAAGATCGTCTAAAGATTTAGAGCAAATCCTTGTAAAAATGATTATTTTTAAAAAATAATTATGACTTTTTGCTTTAAATTATTTATGGAAATAATTTGCCATTTAGTATATGATGCTTATGTGTTTTATCTATGTAAACCCATGGTAAATTACATGAGGGCAAGAATTCTGTCAATTACAAACTAATTTTGCATAGAACTATATCTAGGTCCTGAACCAATTTCTATGTGATTGTTTCTATGTTTCTATTGGAGGGAGGGGCCCAAGATTAATCTGAGACCATACAGACCAAGTTTCTGTGCTATCCAATCTCCCCTTTTTACTGGCTATGATATGCAGGTAAAAATGGCTCACCCAGCTCTTTCATGTATCTTTCAAAATTTTCACAAGAAATGGATTTCCATGTTCCTTGGAGCCGATCAACCATTCTGTCTAAACTGATCTGAAAGAAAAATAGCATCATTAGGATGAGTATGTTATTGTTGCCTGAAATAGTGTTTTTAATACAATTCTTGTGGATAGTACAGAAAAGTCAGGGGGAAAGGTTAGGAACTCTAATCCTTGTCATCTTTTCTTAATATCATCCAGAGCAGGAAAACTCTCAAATGTAAGCTGGTCAAGATGAAAATGGAAACAGTTTTTGGCAAGACCAGGTATAATTTTTCCATCTCTAATTTAGGATCAAAACTAGGTTTATAAATTCTAGTTCCTTCCCTAAGAACGGTGACACACACACACACACACACACAGAGCAATGCATAAGGGGAACTAGGCAGCTATGTTTATGCCCTAGGACACCTGTACTCCAGGTCTTTGTTTCTCTTTCTCTGACCAAGGGTGATCTAGAATAAGCCAATTTATCAGCTGTTTAGAGATCTTATCACACTCTCATTCTTGATAATTTGAACTAAAACCCAGAAAGATTTCATAGATGATTTGGCATTTGAACTAAAAACTTAAATTTAGTGAGGGCTAGAACAATCATTTTAAACCATGTACATATTGAGCAAGAGAATGAAACATAGAAAAAAAAAAGGAAGGAAAGAGGTTGTGTTCACACACACACACACACACACACACACACACACACAGCCTTGTTCCTGATGCTTTTCCAGATGTCAGCTCAATTTCCCATAAGCTTAGAGAGTCATCACTGCCATGAGAACACCAAATATCTTCTTAGTAAATCCCCCTTAATTTAGGCTAGGTTCTGTTCCTTTCAATCTTGACTGAAACACTCTGATGTCCACTGATATCTGTGAGGAATCAGAACAGAGGATAAGGAGTATAATAGGAAATACACCAACTAGAGAAGAGGAGATTTCCAAGGTTAAAAGACAAGCACAGCCTTACACATGCCATCAGCTCTGAGAACATCATTGTTAATTCTAGGCAATGCTTGATGTCCATATGCTAACACAGAGTTACTAAGAAAAACTGAAATTATAAAATTATTTTAAGACAGAAAAGAATAGCATTTTATTAACAATTCCCATTAAAATGTTAAATTTCCAATATCTATAAATATCTGTAAAAGCACTTATCCAGGCCAATGGTCCTACTGATAATTATTCAACTAACACGTATGGAGCACTTAGTATTATATGCCCAATATGAGACTAAGCAATTTTGCATACACCATTGATTTAATGTTCCAACTGTGGTTGAAAAAGATGCCATAGCTTGTTTGATTCTTTTCCTTTCATGTGTTAGGAGGTTTACCATTATGATTTTTTTTACATTAATGTGTACAATTTATAGTTATCCCCACTCAATTGAACAGCATGAGGCTGAAGCCAGTAAATGACTCACCACTGACGGTACTAAAGATATTAAAATTAGGCACTGAAGTTACTAAAATTCCTAGGATTTTTTAAAGAAAATGTCAAATGTGTTGGATGCACACTAATCCTCCAACATAAGGAAATCAACTATTGGAAATCACCTCCTTGAAGAAGATGTCATATTGGGAGCTCAGTATTGGTCTCTATTGCTGGCAGGTTAGACTTTCAGAGAAGTATCAGTAAAATAGAGACCAGGCATGGCCTCCATCTCTGCCCCTGTGGTTCCTCTGTTCATGTGCTCATCATGTCAATTCAAAGACTGGCTGATGTGCACTGGCCTAGTCATGTGTCTGCTTGGTTGCTCCCTGCCTGTTCTGTGATGAATGCTTTCTGGTGTCCATTACTATGTGAGTCAAAAGTCTTCACACACTATGCCCGTTCCCTCAAGTACATCCACATTCCTCGATGCCAAACTTCCTTGACTTCAATTTTTCAGTCCTTTTCCTTCCAGACCCGTGACCAGCCCATCAGAATATTCCCTCTACGCATGCGTATGTCTTCATTCTCACCTCAGCCCACTGCTCCCTCCACACAAAATGAGTAACAGGTGCACCACTCTGAGCTTTGTCCATTGGGACGATTTTTCCTCACCACTGTTTTCAAACCCCCTCCCTCCCCGAGGGTAATTAAACCACTGCCTGTTTTTAACTTGCATTCACACACTAAGCTGACCTGCCCATAAAACATTGTTCAAGCTCTTCTTACTCCTTCAGCTGGTTACATGAGTGCCCCACAAAGTCGAGGAATGATCTGAGGGAGGGTTGCTGGTACACCCGTGGTGGGTGACATGAGGAGCTGGGCTACCTGCTCATGCAGTTACTTCATATATTCTGGTCTTGCTTAGCCTTAATTCCAGATGCACAATTTTGATCTTATTTTGGAATGCTGGGCCTGCCTGAGTCTATGATTCTGTGGGTCTAACAGAACCCAGCTCATAATGGACAGTTCCAGACGCATGGTTACTTGGTGCCTTATAATCAAGAATTCTGTCTCTGCAAGTCCCCAGTAACACACCAGGAACTCTTTTCAAAAGTGTATAAGTTTCTGTTGCAGGTGGCATGGTCTTGCTCCGAAACCCCAGGGGTCTGTGTTATGATGCTTCACTGTGGCTTCATCTCTCCACCACACTGCATATTTTCCCATCACTAATACCTCCAGTGGCTTACGGTTTGCCAGATCATATGGCCCAAGAGGCAGGGCTGCTTGCACTGTAATTCTGACTTTCTGCTCCAGGCCTCATTCAAAGCAGGGAACTATTCCTGTCACCCAGTATATGGGCTGGAGCACATTCCTAGATGTGGAATATGTTGCCACCATAAACCAAAGGATCCTACCAGGAATTTTGTTTCCTTCTTTCTGGTACAAAGGCAAGATGCAGCGATTTCTCTTTTGGAAGAGATGTTCTCACTGCCCTTGACCCAGCTGGATCCCTAAATACAACAGTGGAAGTTCACTCATTTGCCACCAACTTAAACTCCCATACTCTGCAGTGCATACGTCTTGCCAGCGCCTCCAGTATGCTAGCCATTCTTGCTCATCCTCCTGATCAACATGATATGTAGGATATCCAGACAGCTCAGATCTCATCTGATCATATTACACCAGCAGGAGGTAATGTAGGCCCCTAACCTGTAAATGTATATTGTTCCACGTAAATGCAGTTTCTATTCCTTTTTCTGATCTTTTCTTATTGGGATAGACAAGAATGCCATAACATGTACTTGAGGCCATATTAATCTGCTCCAGCAGAGATAACATGACTGGCACAGCAGCCATGATTGGGGTTATTATTGGAGTTTGTAGTAGCCTACAGTCATTCTCCGAGATTCAGTTGGTTTCTGCAGTGGTCAGACTGGTAAATCAAATGGAGCTGTGATGTGGACCACCCCCCTCCCGCCCCCGCCGTTCTTAAGATCCTTTAGAGTAGCATTCATTCCTCCCCATCGTTACCACCAAATACAGTGGATTTTGATGTACCGTCTTAGCCAGGACTGGCAAAGGAATAGGGGACAGAGGGAATTGGGGTGTAGAGGTGCCATTTTAGAAGCTCTCACTTCACCTTCCCCCCTATGATAGCTCCCATTTGGTTTGAATGAGAAGAAGTCAAGGTGGGGTTCCTTCAACAGTCAAACGTGTCAATTCCAATCATATATTTGGAGACCAGAGAGTTGACCCACTGGATGGGTCCACAGACTTACTGGACCTTCTGAGAGCCAGACTTAGGCTGGGATTCTGTTTATTTCAGAGCCTGGCCCCTGGATGCCTCCACTCTACCGTGATGCTTTGAAATCCTATAAGTCAATATAGGATTTTGAGGGTATTCGATATTTGGATATTCCTCTTTCCAAATATTTGGATATTCCTCTTTCCATAGTGTGTATTTTCTCAAGTAAGTATCATAAGTCTCTTTTGAGGAAACTTGCGGAAATTAACACAGTATATTTTTGCCACGGTATTTCAAAATTCTTCCTCCTGTGGACTTAGCCACCTCTTCAGCCAGTGGTTTTTGGGTCTGAAAACTGGCTGAGTTCTGGGATGTGGGCAAAAGATCAAGACTTTCTATTGAGATTACCACCCTTAATCTGCTGTTCATATATATATTCTTGCCTTCTTTTGGTTAATATATTAAGTAACACCCTCACTGGCTAGTCATCTATTTTATCTCTAGGGATATAGTGTTCTCTTAATCATCTCCACATCTCCCTCCAGGTCAAGTCCACTTGGGTGCCCTTCAACTTTCCCTGGTGGTATGGTAGTTTTAACCCCCTGGCTTCTGGCAATAAAATGCTGCTGTTTGGTCCCTGTTGCTTCAGAGTCTCATCATTGCCATTGCTATCAATGAACCAGCTAATAGAGATAGACATAGGTATGGATGATGCATATAGATCTCTATTCTCTTTCTACAGAAAGGTATTTGGGCTATATTGAGCCATAGCAGAAGTACAGGTCTCATAAATTTCCTACAGAAAAAGAGAGAGGAGAACCCCACCATATCAGAGTTTCATACAGTGTTGTGGCATATTGGACTTGGGTTATTTTAACTAAAAATTTGAAGTGTACTGGAGCTGGACAAGGCATAGTGGGCACCCTGTAGAGACAGGCATGCTAAGAAAACGCAAGCCTTACTCATTTGCTATTCATTCAATAAACTTTGAGTATATAGATATCTAGGTATGTAGATATCTAGATATCTATATCTGTATAGTAGAAACGTGGAGAACTGGTTGATATTTTAGACCAGAGGTCAGCAAACTGTGATCTGCGTACCAATTCCTGCCAGCCCCTGTAGATGAAGTATTACTGGAACACAGCCACAGTTATTTCTTTGAATATTATCTAAGGCTGTTTTCACATTACAGTAGCAAAGCTGAGTAGTTGTGACAGATATCCCATGGCTCACAAAGCCTAAAATGTTTACTATTAGGCCCTTTACAGAAAAATGTTTGCTGGCCCCCATTTTAGAGTCTCATGTTTGATTATTTAAAACTCAGGATCCTAACAGCTACTGTGTTTGTAGGCTTTCTGTGCTTAGGATAGAAAAGTGGTGGATAACATTTTTTCTTCCATAGCTTTTTTATCAAGAAAAGACATTTTTATA